ATGAATAACGTGATACTTGGTGGTAGTTTAATTAAATCTACAAAGCAAAATCCTATAATAACTCAGATAAACTTGATACTGGCTAAGACAACAAGCCATTTTGTTTTAATCTTCTTACAACCAGTGACAGTTGTAACCAAGATTCTGTATGTTCAAACGCATTCTTTTTAAAAATTCTTTCACCATAATTCGTGCCACACAAATGTCATTCATCTGCCTTGGTCTTTCCTTAGAATTGAAAATGATTAATATACATATTTTACCATTCGCTTAAGACAGTTATAGTAGAAGCTCTATTAGTGAATACTTCCTAAGTGAACACATATCTCGGTTTCCCAAACCAATTTTTGCTGTAAACGGATCTCTATATAGTCAACACCTCTCAGTTTTGAACAATGGACACTTTTCTGGTCCCTCAACAAAGAAAATCTCTATATAATGGATATCGATGCAACAAAATGCGCGTTTGTTTAGAAAACCAGAGAAAAAAGAGAATATAGCGTATATTCCGAAGGAATGCTAATCCAATTCATCGGTAATCTATTCATCACAAGAAAATTCGTCGCATGTGTGGAACTAAAGGAACAATCAAACTGAATAGTCCATTGTGAGTCGATCTATCGCATGTCAGAAAACAGCGCACTTTTTTATTTACAATTATGAGATGACGATATGCCAATTGAGACAACGCTCAAAGTGATCAACGCAATGGAGATGGCCGGACGATTTGCGTCTTTGAACTGCTACTGAACAACCAAAAATGTGTTCTCTTATCATTCAGATGAATTTGCAGCTCACTCAACTCTTCATCGACTCGAAAGGAATCAAGCGGACAACAATCGACAATTTTTTTCTTCAGAAAAATCTATATATATATATTGTTCAGTGTGTGTGTATGTGTCTGTCTGTTTCTCTGTGACAGGTCAAAAGTCAAAGGTTAAAGGTCAAATAAGGCTATAATAGGGATGGTTCCCAAGGCTATCCATTGGGACTGTAGGTCCTCAAGGGCTATCTTATGGGGTACCCATAGATCCACAAGGGCTATCCTATGAGGGTACCCATAGGTTCGGAAGAGAGTAAGACAATAAGGAGATAAGGTAATAAGGGTATTAGGCAATAAAAGTTTCTAAGGAATAAGGGGATAAGGCTACTAGGAATATAAGCCTGTAATGCCGAAAGCTACATGAACTATAAAAATATTTATGATATAAGAGTATGAGGCCGTAGGGTTATCTATCTATGCATATAATATCGGGTGTCTTATGTCTGTTACCAGATGAAAGGTTAAAGGTCTAAGATCATACGTTAAAGGAGAAAACAGCCGTGCAGTATGCACGGGTTCTCGCTAGTTGAATAAATAAATGTAACAGATGGAAGAAATACTTTTTTCTACTTTGCGCTACCTACGGTGGATCTGAACACGAAAGGTATGCATTCGTCTATCGGTCATACTAACCATACACTGCATACTGTGTACATGTAAGAGTTCAGTCAATGCGACACCTCTATGTAACGAACACTTCCTTTAGTGAACACTTTTTGGAGAGTCTCATAGGCGTATAAGATTTCACTTCAGAAAGGTAAAACTTCGAAAATGTATTCTTCTCTGTATTTTTCTAATGACTTCATGACTGACACTACTTTTTTCTACGCATAATACATCTTTGTAGATGAACTAACAAGAAAAGAGATGTATTATTTTTCGTTATTTTACTTGGATTTCTCTTTCTAACATTCTGTACCATTGAAAAAGAGTTTCTGTAAAAAAGATCGAAAGTTATATGCTGGAAATCGTTGCAATATGTTTTCGTGCCTAGCTGCTTACTTTCTTCTCTTCTCAATTTATCAACAACATGTCATTACTTTTTCCCATCGATTTACTTCGTTCGCGTAACCAACATCTGAATGATTTTTTTCTTTCTTTTGTATGTAAACCTGTGTTTTGTAAAAGACGCAATGGAAGCTCTGAAGTAGCTGAGTAAGCATTTGACGAGAGTAATTGTAATGCTACCTTCATGATTTCTCGTTGCATCATATATTCAAAACTGAGAACACACAATGAGAAGAAAAAAAGAACACCTAATGAGGCTTTTAGCAAACAATAAAACAAATACTCAGTTTAAAATAATGACTATATTAAATACGATTTTGAAGTTTTCATTCTATTAGGTTATATACACTATCAAAAAACAGAACATATGAGTGTTGTTGATTCTATGGTTCAACGTGAACCGTCAAGCAAGGTTAAGTATTATCTGTTAACACATTTGAACTCTTTTTTTTCTGCAACCTTACCTACCTGTACAACCTATATCATCAGCAATATAAAAGTGAATTTTTATGTTGCAGATTCAAATCAGAGAAACAAAGTAAAAGACATACCACATACTTTCTTTATGTTTGTTCTTGTATTCCGTGTAGACGCGCGTTGCATTATTCTTTTTCATTACATTCAATTTTTCGATAGAAAAGAACAGTTAAAACATTAAAAACATGCCAAACTCACTTTTCTCTTTAATGATTTTTAAGGCATATAAGAAAACATAAGAAACTGAATTTTATACTATTGAGTATACTGGAAAGAGAAGCGGCTGAGTCAACACGCAGCCATCGAAGTAGTAGTAGCGGAGTCGCACTTCAGGGCTTCGGCAGAGGGTGAGGGTGGGTGTGGGTGTGGGTGTGTGCGTGTGAGTGTGTGTAGGTGTGTTCCTATGTATCTACACCCACCAACACTGATCCGCACCCACACTCGGTTTTATGCTTAAAAAACCAATTTTCTTTGAGTTCTTCTCAAAACCAAATTTCAAAATGAAAAGTTGAAGTTTTTCCCTTGTATTCCTGCACGGCACGGCCGATTGGACTTAATATTTTTTGGTGATACTCTGGTCCAATTGTGGTGTTTCTTTTTTTTTCTTAGACACATTTTGAATAATTTTCTTCGATCAATTTCAAAGTTCGATCGTAGAATTTCTGATGTTTTTCAATATTTTGAATTGATGTGAATTGTTTGATTATTTGATTGGTATCAATTAATTTAGGATAAATATCAATAAAATCTTCCTGAATTGGATTTCAATCAAAAACCGATTCAAATGAGAGTTTTTATATGATTTCGAAGAGATCTCAGAGAACATTTTCTTGTTTACTTTTGAATTTGATATCGAACGATTTCTCTACAAGTTATGTCAAGATTTTGTTAGTTGCATGAGCAAAAAGATCAGGTCGTTCTGTGCATTGTTGATCATTTTCAAGAAGAGATAACGGAAAAGAATGCAATTCATTTGTAAATTGATCTAATGGTTTTTTTGAGCTAAGAAGATTTGTTAATGTTTTAGAATCACAAATTAAATCTCAACTAATCAATTTCACTCTTCCTTTTCTCATTTTACATAATTTTCACATCGCTGTTCCAGGTGTCTATGGAAACAATAAAGCAACTGAATACAATAAAAACGTGTTTCAAATCGATTTAATTCCATTGAATCGATCTATCACTAAAATCAAAAAGACATTCTTTACACAACTCAAACATAACCGTTTTCACAACGATTATTTTAAGTTCATTTCATTTGTCATTAATAGAAAAACAACACATCGACAGAAAGAAAATTTCTCTTTTTCCATTTCGACTTAAAACAGATTTTGCTAAATATCAATCAATTAGAAAGACAATTCAAATGAAATGGATATTGTTTTCCTCTAATGAACTTACTCGATCAATTCAAAGTGTTTGAGTTGAACGATGACAAACTTATTCTTCTCTCAATTAAATCTTGTCTTGAAACTCTCTCAAAAAAGTCACTTTTCGCCAGAATGATTGAAATTGGAGACAAAATCATGGAAAAATAGCTCACCATTTACTCTTTCATACACGACAAAAATTTTTATTCAGCACCTCTTTTTTTTCCAAACTTTTGGAACATTTTTGTTACTCATTTTTCGAAAAACAAGTCTTTTTGACAAAAAACCGAAAATCATTTTTCGTTCTTCTTAGAACGTGGGTTCAACAATATATCTTCAGCAGAACTCTATTGTAGTAAGAGATAAAGTCAAATAGGTTTTTTTTGTTTGAAAGCTTGTGTTCAGGGCTAGTTCTCCTCGTGGCCATTTTTTTTAAATAAGCCTTTTTATTATCATATAAAAGAATACCGTTATAGCAACAGCGCCATTTTTTGGGATTTTTTGAGTCATTAAACTTGTCATTGCTTTTCTTCGCCTAAAAAGTAAGAGTTTAAAAAACCACAATAGGGACGGCATTCGATATGTTCTTTCATACAAAAGTCAATTAAATGTCTAGAATGAAGACCCACAGAGAAAATTTGGAGAGGGTTAGTCTTCTCTTAGCACATCCCTACATCCACACCTAAACCTACATCTACATTGGCACAACTATCACCCACATCCGCATCCATCCTACCCTCCCAAGAAAACAGAACAGAAAAAAACTATAAAAACTGTCGTTTTTTTTTTCATCGAATATGTTATCGCCCCTTATTGCATGTTTCTTCATTATTGTCGGCAAGTTCAAATATATTTTTTTCAAGTTGCACATGGAAGGAAGAAAAAAAAGGTAGACTTAAACGACGACTCACATACATAATACAGAAGTTTGCATGCTGCTTGTTTCGTTTACACATTTAAACTTGTGAGTATCGGAAGATATTTGTCAAATTATGATCGATATTTATACATCTTTAATATTTTAACTGTTCCTTGTAGAATTCATAAATAAAAGCACATAATGCATAATTTATTTTACTAATAAATTTTCGACAATATATATAAAACAATGACTCATCATTGAATTCTCTTTCTTCCGTCAAAACATTTGCGTATGTGATAAATTATTTTTTATTTTGTCTTGGAAAAAACCTGATATACTCGTTCATTTGTTATTATCTATAAATTTTCATTTCAGATGATGAACTTTATTTAATTCGGTTGGATAAAATTTTGGTTAGAAATACAATTACAACAAGCCACGTTTTAAAAATATCATTATGTTTCATAGCAGCGTTTCATATTTTATATGTTGTAACAACCCTCACTGTCCAATACATTCTCGATTAAATCAAATTATTGAACCGGAACTTCGATATACAGATAAAAAACATGATATAGACTTAAAAGTAAATGTTAGTTGTGTACCAATGATTACCATTCATAATCTTATAGAATATCTTTTACAATCACTCTGGCTTAATGACATTCCTATTGAAGAAGTTCGTCTTGTTGCATATAGGTATAACGGTCACCATTATCAGTTAGATGAAATGAAGATACCGAAGACACTACAAGAATTGTCGTTGACCAACAATGATATACTTTATTTCGAACCGACCCCTAATGCAGCACCGCCGAAACTCTGTCAGCTGACGATAATTGGTCCAGATGAAAAAGAAAAAGTTATATTTCAATGGTATAGAGCAAAAACAACACTTGCTATGCTTCTTGAATATGTTATCGAAAAGTTTTCATTGCAGTCGATTGAACGTCATCGAATTCATCTTTTTACTATTTTCGATGAACTCGACTTATTCTCTTTGCCTGACCAACGTCTATGTGAGTTTGGTATTAATGACCGAATGACCGTTCATGTTCACATAACTACATCATGTCCATTGACAATTATGGATGAAAACAAGAATGTTCTAATTAAATGTTCTGATGATGATGATAGTAAATTTGTTTTAGATGTGCCAAGTATCACAACCATTAAGCAATTAAAAACTGATATTCAGAATCGATATGAAGATCAAAGTATTCGTAATTTTCAATTGTTTGATGAAACAAATGAAGAGTTCCATTTGGATGATACTGATCAAAATTTAAAAACGTTCGGTGTTAAACCTGGTCAAACCATTTTTGCTAAATTTCGTGTTACCACTCAAAAAACTCTACCAGTAATTGTAAATAACGAAAGCAAATCATCCGAACAATCATTTCCATCATCGGATACAAAAGAAAATCATGATAGAGTCACTGTGATTTGTGAACTTCCGTCGGGTAGTTCTGAAACAATACAAGTATCAGTAAATAATACCATTGGTCAATTGAGAAAAACAATAGAGAATTTAGGACTTAGTAAACGATTGGTTTTACGCGAAATATATTCAAATAAAATTGAAGTTAAGGTTCAAGAAGAACTCGAGACACGACGTTTAACTGATGTAAGATTCAAACCAGGCGACACTATCCATGCCATCATGATATATAAGCATCTTACTTCTTCATCGATCATAAGCAAACAAACACCTTCATTAGCGAAAGAAGATAAACAACCGAAAAATGGTCCCACCACGAAAAAGCCTATTGGCTTGAATAATCTTGGAAATTCATGTTATATGAACAGTGCACTTCAATGTCTCGCGCATATACCACCATTAACTAATTTCTTTTTAGAAGGTCTTCGTCATACTCACATGAAAGATGATGAACATACGGATTATTATTCAAATCTATATGATCAAATAGGCAATGTAACTCGAGCATATGCTGATTTACTTTGGCATTTATGGAAATGTGATGAAAATGATAATAGTTATGATTCATTTAAACCTATTCGAGTTAAAGATGCAATTGGCAGTAAGGAATCACGCTTCTCTACAACGGATCAACAAGATGCTCAAGAATTTATGAGTTTTTTTCTCGATGCTATCGATAAAGAATTAAAAGAAAAAAATCAAAACAATGGAAATACCATAATAAAAAATCTCTTTTTTGGAGAAATAAAATCTACTATAACTTGTGCAGCATGTAATAAAGGAGAATCAATCAAAACTCCTATTAGTTTTTTATCGATACCATTAGATCGACAGGAACGAAGATTTTGGATTACTTATATTCCAAAAATGGGAAAAACTGAAGAAGATCTGCTGGAAGTCCCAATCAGTAGTCAAGTTGGACATATCGTACAAAAGTTTGTTGAATATCGTCAAAAACCTGAACTTTTTAACTATATATTTCCTATGTTACCCGATGGTGAACTCGACTTTCAAACGCCAATTAGTCATCTATCTCAAGACGAAATCATATTCATACAACAAGAAGAACGTTCAAATAATATTCTACCTAAACCTTTAAAAATACCTACGAAAAAATCCACTCTTGAAGATTGTCTTCAACAATTTTTCTCTATAGAAGAACTTCAAGATGAATGGACTTGTCATCAACAGACATGTAAAAAAAAGACGAAAGCAACTAAACAACTTGAACTTAGCATACCTTCCCCTGTGCTAATTATTCAATTCAAACGATTTTCGCATGAAAATGGTTTACATCAAAAAATTGAAACATTCGTTGATTATCCAATAAAGGGATTAAATTTAAATAAGTTCTTACCATCTTGTCAGAAAGAAGCTACTTATGATCTAATTGCAACTTGTAATCATATGGGATTGATTGATGGAGGTCATTATACAGCATATGCTAAACATCCCATATCGAATATGAATGCTTGGTACAAGTTTGATGATTCGTGTGTAACACGCATAAAACCTGAAGATGTGGAATTTGAAATTGTATCGCGAGAAGCCTATCTTCTATTTTACATTCGAAGAGATATTTTGCATCTGGCTACAACAGTATAACATATATTGCATGACACGATGATCATACCATTCTCAATCAACCAAGACTTCATTTAAATAAAACTTTCAGAACAATTTCGTTCACAACTTTTTCATTTTTTTTTGTCTATGCTTACTTTTATTTTCAAGAGAAACAAACTGATTTCGTAATTTCAATGATTTCAAGTGATTTCGGTGATTTTGAGAGGTTCTTGGTGATTTTTAGTCATTTTTATTAACAATCAAAGCATTCATTTTTTCTTATATCATTCAAAAGTGTGGATGTTGTGAAGAGTATATCCAGGCTGACATTCATACCTCATACGCATATTCACACCCTCAAAGTTTAATAATATCATGATATATTCGTGCGATCACTTGAACATTATATTTTTTTTCTTTCCTGTCATACTATTCTGTTTTCTCTCTATCTAAATTATCTGATTGGTTCATTTCTATAGATCAATAGTAGCCTTTGTCTTCAAACAAAGAATATTGTTCGAAAAGAACTTGAATTCGATTCATTCGAAACGCGGATCTCTTGAGAAATGTTTCTTTTAAATAGAATATTTGCGTAATTTACTAATACAATGCATCTCTTCTCTCATATCTTGCTCAGTTAAATGAGCAAGACTTCAAGCTTTTTCGGTGCATGTAGGGTGTGACTGTGGCTGTGTGTGAGTGTAAGACTACAAGAATACAGGACCCACACCCACTTTCACACCCGAGACACACAGTCACAATCAACACCCAATTCAACATCCCTGCGTATGCTCGCACCCCAACCTATGAACTTGTCTTTCAGCTCAGCTACACCTATACTCCATATAAATGACCAAACACCCACTGATCGACAAACATGGATGTCTCGACTCAATTCTGAACTTACAAATATACGAGCAGCAACAAAACGCATCCTGCTAGCACATGCTCTAATATGAATATTCACTTTCACACACACTAACTTTCTCACGTGCAAAAGCCATTCACCTACTATAGAGCACAATCACAAGACATCAACCATGCGCTTCTCTACATCCAAACAGGTGACCCACAATAACAGCGATTTCTGGAAACACTGGAACACACAATAAGCAACACAACATGGTCCTGTCGACCACAAATTCTCGCGCATTCTAAAGCAATCACATCAACCATACCTACTAGCCTCATCATTCAGCCACGCTCAGCCCGATAGCACAACAATCCCAAACACGCATCCACACCCACAGGTACACGAACATGCACACCAACACCTAAACGCAAACCCCACCCACAAAGACGTCCAAATCAGACCCATACCCAAACTACACGCAGACCACATCCAGGTTCACACCAACATCCAAAAAACATCCCACACACCCAGACACAGATCCACATCCAAGGGGGGAAAGCAGATTTTAGGATTTCAAGATTCTCAAAGATTTCCAAAAAGGGTGTGGGTGTGGGATGTGGATGTGGATGTAGGTGTGAGTATGGGTGTGCGTGCGGGTTTAAAGAAGAAGAACACCCACACCCACCCACACCCCACATCCATACCTCACCCTCAAGTACGATGTGAACTCCAACTCAAGTCTGCGAGCATTTTTTCGATTAATGAAACTATATTGATAATAGTGGTTAGGCACAAATCTCGTGACGAGTTCTGTTTGAGTGACGAAAGAAAAAAAAGATTCAGTGGAAAAAAAAATATGTTGAAAATGGAGACTGTTGATTGTTTGAAAACAACCATCGATTGGAAATGGTTGCCAAGCTGGCACGACCGAGTTAAAATATATGGAAAAGTTTTTTTTATTATAATCATGTGCTTTTTCTTTTATGTAATGATGAAAATGAAACAACCTTCTTCGACTAATGTAAATAATTTTTTGTGTCACATTAACAGCCCGGTGAAAAATTAAAAACCAGCACCGACTGCGTTCTTTTTTTCTCCGTTCCTTCCAACAATAACATATTTTTTATTCTTTTCTCTTTTTACCAACAATTTTTCTTTCCTTTCTTACAACAGACACTTTTTCTTACTAACTTTGTAGGGTTTTTCTTTCTATTTCTATCACGAGTAGTGGCCTTCACCCGCTTGTCTTGTTCTATTAATAAGTTCTTTTGGTATTAATTTCTTTCATATCCAGAATATATTTGTCATCGTTGTGAACAAACAACTTCTTTCGCCAGACCCCAGTATTGCAGATCAGTGTGTGTTTGATATTATTATAAGTCAATACATTAAAAAATTGTGTCGAGTAGTTCTTAGATTATGGCCTATGTGACTTCATCAATATCCAAATCGACTAGTGAGAAAAAGGCTCTTCTTATTGGCAATAATGCATACAAACGAGAAAATACACAACTTCGGTGTTGTATTAATGATGCTACAGATCTTTGCAAGAAACTTCGTACGATTCAATTTCAAGTCACTGTTGAATGTGATTTAACCCATGAACAAATGGATAGGATGATCGATGATTTTACTATTAAGATTAATCCGGGTGATCTAGTTGTTTTCTTTTTCTCTGGTCATGGAACTCAATGGAGTGATCAAAATTTTCTAATGCCTGTTGATAATGATCGAATTAATGAAAGAAAATACCTTAAACATAGAGCGATAAACGCTCAAACTACTCTCGAGAAAATTATGGATCGTTGTCCATTAGCAGCTATATTTTTGCTTGATTGTTGTCGAAACTATTACATGCATAATGAAGCCGCAATGAGAAGTCTAAATACACCCAGTGGCCTTTCGAGTATGCAAGCAGTTGTTGGTTCGTTCATTGCTTTTGCCTGTGATGCAAATAAAACAGCTTCAGACAGATCAAAAAACAGACGAAATGGTATTTTTACGGCTCATCTTCTCGAACATATTGCTCAACCTAACTTGACTATTGATGAAGTAATGACTCATGTCTGCGATGATGTCATGACCGAAAGCCAAGACCAGCAGTGTCCCTTTCGAGTCAGCTCACTCCGCAAAAAGATCTATTTGAATCTTCAAGCTCCATCTGACAACAAAATCCAAATGAATCAACAAGTTCACAGTAATAATCCAATTCAAGTTGGTAAGTTGACATACCTAATAACCTAGTTTATCTTCTGTACAAATTGTTACAGATTTTTCTGAAGACTTCGCCATTGTTCTTTTGTAAAAGGCAAATATGAAATCAATCGATTGAAGTGAATTACATGTTCTCTGTCCTTAAACGCATACCTAAAACAATTCACTGGACTCACAGCACAAGTGATCGTTCGATTAATCTATGTATGCTAATGTTAAGAAAACTATCCATCATATGTTATCGTATTCTTTTCTCACTTCAGAGGATCTTTCAAAAATTTTCCCTATATGTTGCGTGCTTCATTCGACCATGACAAGAAGAATCTCGAAAAATCATAACATTCGGTAGGAATTGAAGTCTGGAGTAAAACGGATAAAGACAAACGTATAGAACGTTGTGTTGCAATATAAAAATATCACGCATTATGAAGACAAGATCCACTCTGCGTCAGAATGCCTGAATTCATAAGATATCTGACAGATTCGACTATTTCTCATCATACATCATTGATTTAAAATTTACTTTTTGTCATTTATTTGTCTTTATATCACTGCTTTATCCCTTTCTTCTAGAGCATACTTCATATAAAAATGTAAACCTTGAATTAGCAATTGCACAATATCGTGTCGGCTCGAACGTGGATTTATCTCAACATGAATTGATTGATCAAGATATGGAAATTATCGCCAAAGAAGTCGTTATTAAAAAACGATGCATTCAGCTCTGGTTAGGATCGAATTCAATTACTTCGGATGGTGCTTTAATCTTGGCTGATGTCTTGAAAAATAACCATATATTGGAGAAATTAGATCTTCATAACAATCGTATATCTGACGATGGTGTTCGTTTTCTAGTCAAGACACTTTCAGGTAACAATTGTACTCTGAAAATCCTCAATCTCGGACAAAATAGCATCACAGATGAGGGTGCACAACATCTCGCTGAAATGCTTAAAACAAATGCAATATTAACTCATCTTTATATACAAAAAAATGACATCAGTAACGAAGGAATTCAAGTATTAACTGATGCAATCGAAAATGACAATAAAACACTAATAGAACTGTATCTTAACGGTAACAGATTAGTGACTGATTTCAGTATCAATTATCTTATTTCAATGGTAAAGAATCACCCGAAACTCAATCGACTCAATATAGAAGACTGCGGTTTAACCTCAATAGGCAAACAAAAACTTAAAGAAGTAGAAAAATTAAAGAGAAACTTCCATGTGTATGTACATGGTTTATTTGATTGAAACTTTTACATATAATAAAAAATAGAAATATGAAATAAAATCTATTTATTGGATTTTGAATATAACTTAGAAAAAGAAATGAAAGCTATCTTTTGAATTGAGAATAATTCAAAAACAAACGAAAGTGCACATATAAAAAAAGAGATGAACACGAATGTTTATCCTTCATTGAAAAGTATTCCTATACCATAATAATAGACTATTGAAACTCAGCTATGTGATAATAAACATGACTAATTTGAACTATGTTGGAGGCATTATTTTTCAAAGTACATATTAAACACAGTCTTTTAATAGTGATCATAGACAATTGTTTTTATTTAAGAGTGTTCTATAAGAAGTTAAGTGTGATGATCAAACTTTGTTGTCTTCATCAAATATGCCGTCTCCATTGCTTGTGATATTCGTAGATAGTGGAATCACCATCTTTATCGTTTAGTTAATGAGCGATTGAGCGACACAGCCAAATGGTTCTAGAAAGGAACGTCCAAAACTATACTAATATTATTTTCTTTATCTGAAAGCAAGGGGGAACAAACTGATTTCGTGAATTCATTGATTTCATGTGATTTCAGCTATTGAAATCAGTTTGTTCTCCCTTGTCTGAAAGTTAATTTTCACAATCAAAAATAATGAGAAATAACTGTTATATTGATAATAATATGGTGTGGATGTGGATGCGGGTGGGTGCGGGTGTGTGTGAGTGTGGGTGTGTGGGGTGTTGATGTGGGTGGTTGTTCTTTTTTGTCTCTGCGCACTCACCCTCACCCACACCCCACACATCCACATCCTCGAAGTATGATCTTGAACTTACTAAAGCTCATGAGCAAGTAGGAACATGCTATCATCTCAACAAAGACTATGAAACAGCACTGAAACATTACAAAAAAAAACATTCAAAATTCAACGCTGGAAAAGAGAATCGCTAACATTGACCTACCAGTCACACGGTGAGAATTATGAAAATCTTAAAAAACAGAAAACAGCATCCAAATACTATCGAATGGTTAACTGTAATTATCATGAGAAAGACAAGGCAACTCGAATCATTGTGATCATACAGATTTGCATCAGTTGTATCGAAGACTTAGTGTCGTTCGGCGGTAATTAAATCAGTTCGACAAAGCCATAAAGAATCTGCAACGATCATTTAATTTGTGCAAAAAATTTCTCATTAATGACGAGCAATATGATGAAATTGTGCAAGGCATATTAGAATCGATGGCTAAAGTACATGAAGTGACAGGAAACATGTCTTTGGCTGAAGAATGTTGAAAAAAGAAAACAATTTCTGTAAATAAATAAACATGACATTCTTTATATCAGATCTGTATTTCAAATTATCTAATGACAACAATTTCAGTTGACTAACAGAATGTGGATATGAATTATCTGTTTTATCACACCCATATCCATACCCTGATTCAGTTAATTTTCAGCCCAAGCAAATGTAGGATGTTTTAGCTTATATAGTCACTGTGATAGAATATCAGTTTTCTTATCTTGGAGCTTAATACTCCAGATATTGAAAATCTTACTTTGTTTATTAATAAAAATACTTTCAAAAAATGACTTTCCGATGTCGACACAGAAGAGATTATTGGTGTTTACATTACAGTATCAACGCGTGAAGATGAGTACAATGTTTAGTAAAAAATAGTTTATTAGCGGGTGTGGGTGTAGGCATAACTCTGTTATCTCAATCCATACCCTCAAGTATGATTCAGCGAATTTATCCAATAGTGCCCAAGCAAATGAAATATCTAGAAGTTTAATTAAATATTGCAAATAAGATGAAAATGATTCTTGATCAACTAAAACATTTGTCCAGTGTGATTTTCACATCACAATTCGACCTATGAGAAGAAAATAACGAAAACTATTGAGTGGCTCATAAAAAATGAAAGAGATTATGTTTATTACGAAAAAGATAGTAATTTATGCTTCTGGCTTGTTGAAGAGAAGAACAAATCTTTTGAAGTTAAAAATGTCTGTAAATGTATGAAGTTAACAATTGATGACAATGCTTCTTCATCGGATCAAATTTTCTTCTAATATGTCATTTCGTTTTATATGATTTGAAAAATTAATTCAAGTTATGAATAAAAATTGAAAGGTGATTATCAAATAGCTGCGAAATATTTTTGTCACATTAAATAAAAAAGAAAATCAGTACTTATAGATTTATATAGATTATTATTTTTTTGGATATAACTCATGCTTTGTCAATATCTTTGTCTACTTTTGTAAAAAAAAAAGACTTCACTTTTTTATTCATTTCTAGCGGTAATGATAATGTGAGGGTGTGGGTATGGTTTAGCTTCTTGAGAAAATAAACACACCCACACCCTCAAGATGAGTATAAGAGAAATAAAAATAGGATGATAATCACTGAGTTATTTCGTAAGGCATCAGCGAGATGTTATGCTCCAACAGCTGCGAGAGTGTGGGTGTCTTATTTGTCTTCACCCACACCCACCCTATTTAAAAAAAAACAATTTTTGTCCTTTTCAATCTAATTTTTTTTTAAAAACATTTCCATGAAAATAAGAATATAATGAAATATAGAAGCACGAATCTTATGATTTAATAAAGAAAAAGGATAACTAACTTTTTTTCCTTACAAGGAAACATTCCCAAGTGCCGGAGCGCTTCTCAACCGGAGTTTCGCACACCTTGTAGTCCATAGTGAGCTGTGTCTATGGTAAAAAAACGTTCAGGTTTCTGAGGAGATATCAAACTCCTAGTGAATTTTCTCTATAGTACGCCTACATTGGTAGCAAAGCTATACCTTCGAATTTTGACCTGATACTTTGCCTGCATGAAGGCCTCAGATAGACTAGTTTGCATAAAAAATTTTAGAAGTTTTGGATAAATTCTCTCTAAGATATGAAGCTTTGGAAAACAATGCATACTATATAAAAAGGGACTATACCTTGATAGTTTCATATCTTAGAGAGACTTTATTCAGAATTTCTGAAATTTTTTATGCAAACTAGTCTACCTGAGGTCTTTATGCAGGCAAAGTTTCAGATCAAAATTCGAAAGTATAGCTTTGGTACTAATGTAGGCGTACTATAGAGAAAATTCACTAGAAGCTCGATATCTTCGCAGAAACCTGGACGTTTTTTTTACTAGCGACATAGCTCACTATGGAATACAAGATGCGCGAAACCTCGGCATCTGGAAATGTTTCCTTGTTAGTGATTTTATATGTTTTAGGCGAACAGCTTTTAACTCGTGCATTCAAAAATCAAATTTCGACAGTTCTTATTACAATCTCAAACAATAAAGAAGATTTATCAGCTAAAAATGAAATAATGACAGTGTGTTCACATATCTTTACTACTTTTCCTAATCTACTCTATCTAAATTTTCATCAATTGTCAAATAGAAATATTGAACGATTATCATTTGATTGTCAAATTCCAATGTTTTCTTCAACTTTCATAGAATTACATATAAAAGTACAACTTTTCGATGATATTCTTTATTTACTTGATGGTCGTTTCAATAAACTTTGTATCTTCTATGTTGATGTTATTAATATTGCTTGCACTCGCACTTCGTTGCCAATCATTAATAATAAAGTAGGTTACTTTACAAGAAAACAACAATTATTACTTATTTATTGAACAAATGATTCATATATGTTCTATAAAGACTAATTATATATTATTTTTTTGTTTTGTCTAGGAAAAATTGTCTAATATGAAATGTTTTTCAATGACGAGTTCTTGTGAAACATATTTTTATGATGAATTAATTGTGCCACTTCTACAGCGAATGTTAAATTTAGAAAAACTTGTTTTGAATTTTGCAGCTAATTATTAAAACACATTTATCAATGGGAATAATTTAAAGACAAACATAATCAATCATATGTCACAATTAAATATATTCACATTTAATATTCGTTCAAAAATATCTTTTTATGATCAAATACACTTACCCTTAAATGAAGATATTAAAAATACATTAACAAATCTAGGAGATGATTATAAAATAAATTGTTGTCTTGATAATTTTTCAAAAGAAAAAAAATGGTCAATGTCATATTTACTCGTATCCATATTCACTAACATATTATGATAATATTAGAAATAATTTTTTAGGTGGATTATTCAAATACGTTCTTTGATGAATGTCCAATCGAACATGAATTTTTTATTCGAATTTCTTAAGCATTTCCTTTTCTTAAACAATTAACTATAAATAATTTAACACCGCAAAATCACAAACAATATGAAAATTCAAAGAACAATACTCAAAATTTGCCAATCATTAAATATTCTCATCTTATTGAACTCGATTTTATTGATGCCCATGATGATTATATCGAGTAGGGGTATGGGTGTGGGTGTCGATGAAGAGAACACCCACACACCCACACCCACACCCTAGAGATGTGATCGATACGGATTTTTTCTTGCTGATACAAACACTGGATAGATCAGATAAAAATAGTTAGTAAATTAATATGACTCTTGATGTTAATTTTTTTATGTATTCGAATAACTATTTTATCCTGATAATACGTCATTATACAGATAGTTATTGCTTTATTAAATATAATCTTTATTCAAATTCAATTTCTTTGCGAATCTAGACATGGATGAAATGTATATCAATACCTACGCCTTTTTTTGTTTTGGATAGGATTTCAAGTTGAAGACACACGCTCTGCAAATAATTGAAACGATGCACTTAAATGAATTACAAATAAATAATAGATTTATTTAAGCGAATTGGAATAAATATTAATACTTTCAAATAGAAAGATCGAGTTTTTTTGGATAAAAGATAATGTTGAAAATCTGTGTTGCACAGATTATGTTTTTAAAAATCAATAGTTAATGTCTGATTTGCAAACCATTTTTCTAAATTCGGCTTCACATTTGTTATCCATTGAATATTTGCACGGATACGTTCTATTGATGATCGAAATTCAACTTCGAAGCTTCCCTACAAAATGGAACCTATTACATAATAACTCTCGTGACTAGACATAATAGAAATATTTATTGCTTAAAAACTTTTGTAAATTGAAATTAATAATGCTAGTATACAGAGAGAATTCATCGATAAAAGTATCAGAATAGATGTTTTGTTTTTAAATCAAAGCATTAATCTTACCTGATTCATTGTTTGTTCGATAAATAATTCAAATTCATTCAATTGTTGTTTAGTATTGAATTTTTCTGTTAATTCTTGAATAAAGGAAATAAAATCATAATGTCCAAAAATTTTCAATAAATATTTCCATTTTAAACGTACATATGACCAACAATCATTAATACCTATTGAATTTCGACAAATTAGTCTTATTCCAGAAAGAATATCTTTTTGTCGAATAATATTTAAATTAGAATTAAAATGAATTTCAAGTAAATATCGAATTAATTGAATATCTTGTGTACATGTAAGAGCCAATTGTAACCTTGAAATTTCTTGTGTATCATTTGTTATTTGATATTGATGAAATAGAAATTGAAATAGAGTTCGACTACCTAAACGTATATTTGTACAATAGATAATTTCTCGATAATTTATTTCAATTGTATTATTCGATGGATGATTGAACCATTCTTGAAAGAGTTGTTGAGCATAATCAGTACAATTTTTCAAATTATATTGACAAGCAGTCGATAAAATTACATTTCGATAAACTGTATCAATCCATTTTTCACTCATTGATTGACTATTCCAACCAAAATAAATATAAATTGATCGAATAAGATCAATTAAATAGGAACGCCATTGTTCATAAATATTAATATTTGAATAACTCGTTGCAAGCATTTGTTCAATGTATTGAATACCTACGATAATACGTTCCCAAACAATATATTCTTGTTCTGATTTAACATAAATAAGCATATCGAAAACAAGTGATAACGGCAGAATATCTATTAAAATTACAAATAAGAATTTTAAAGTTTTTTTTTTAACGACAGTACAAACTTATTCTAGCTAAGTTGAATAGATCATCAACAAGACCTGCTCTTTCGATTATTGTAAAATTTTTATGATCATTTTTAAGTTGTTCAATAATCATTTGCCAATTTCGTATATCATAATTTGTACGAAAGAAACCTAACAAATTTGGATTAGCTAAAATCCATTCATTTGATTGAATATTTGCATCTATGATTATGTTAATTTGTTTCTCATTGAACCATGTAATACTTGATGATGATGATGATAATGATTTGAATTGAAATGGAATATACCATTGATAGTTATAAGGAGAATTGGGTGGTTGTGCTTCGACATCAAATAAAAACTGATGTTGACTAATTGAAATTATATTTGTTGAATAGTCACGTATTACTTCTATATAAGGATAACCCATTTGATCAGTCCATGTATTCATTATATCACCAAGACTTATATTTCTCGGTAATAAAATATTATCTATAATCATTTGTTCATTTAAAATTTGCCAAAGATCGATTTTTTCTACTATTGAATAAAGATAATTTCTGAGATACTTTGAAATACCTCGATTAAATGTATCTTCAATAATAAAATTTTGCATCATACGAACTAATGAAGAACCTTTCAAATAAACGAGTGAATTATAGATATTATTTAATTGTTCATCATGTGTTATTTGTCTAGTAATTGGAAGCGAAAATGAAATAGCATCATTTTGCATAATAGGAAACCATTCTTGTGCAATATGTTGTTCATAAGAATTCCAATCAGGATGCACTTTGTTTGTACCAACAAATGCCATCCACTCAGCAAATCCTTCATTGAGCCATACATCGTTCCACCAACTATGTGTAACCAAATTACCGAACCATTGATGTGATAGCTAAGAAAAAAAGAAAAATGTTTTTTTTTTGATACGATCATAAGAAAAAACTATAAATACGGATTTGTATTCGACGATATTTCCTAGTGAAACATCTTGTAAGCAAAATACAAGGTACAGAAATGTTAACAGATCTTGAAAATTTAGGAACAAGATAATGTGATTATCTTGGACGAAAATCTGTATAATTAAATCTTGGCTACAGATAAATCTGATGCAATTATGATATAAGAACGTGAATTCTGTACCCAAGATCTTGACTTAATAGTATTTTTAAAAATTATTTTTCCCCTGTTTGGAATTAATATTTAAAAAGTTTCTAACATCAAACATTTTGTAGATTGTATTCCTGACATATATTCTGTCAAGTTGCTCATCTTTTTTTTTTAAATAAAGAAAAATTCTCTCATTATTTATACCTCGTGAGCTATGAAAAGTGCTACATCTTGTTTGTTGAGTGGTGTTGATGTAATATTATTATAGAGTAGTCGTGATTCAAAATACATAATACAACCAAAATTTTCCATTGCACCTAAATATTAGAAAATCATCATCATCGACTATGAAAATAAAGTTTAATAGAATTCATCTACCGTTAAAGAATTTTGGTAGAGCAATATGATCACATTTTGTTAATGGATAATTAATTTGATATTGTTTTTCAAAATTATGAATATTTTGTGTTGCTATTTCAAGTGCATAATGTAAATCATCTTTTTTATCTGGTTGAGCACATACACGTGTTGTGATATTTCCATAAAGACCTGTATTATTACGAGCTAAACATTCAAAATCAGCAACAACAAGAGCTAATAAATATGAACTCATCGATACTGATTTTTGAAAATGAGTCAATATTAATCCATTACTTAGGTTAACTTGATTTTCTATAGGCATATTACTCCATGCACCATATTGTGATTCATGTTCTACTGATAATGAAAATGTTGCTTTGAAATTTGGTTCATCAAAACAAGGTAAAGCACGTCGTGCTGATATCGGAGCCATAGTCGAAGCAAGAAGATAGCGTGGAACTTGATCAGATGATCTTACATAGGAACTAAGAAAGAATCCATCTACTTCATTGCTCAATTGACCACGATAATTTAATGTTAGATTTATTTGTGTATTGATTGGTATTATTCGATCGAATATAATAGTATAAAGATCACGATCTTGATTGAATGTTGTTTCAACTATAGATACTTCACCAGTATTTTCAATAGGTTCTCGAATAATAATAGAACGTTTGTGTAAAATAATATGATCAGTAGCATTAGTAATATTGATATGAATACGTACTTGACCATCGAATACAGAATGATCAACATTATCCGTAACATTCAAATATGGCTTTACGTACAGATCATAATGAAGAGGAATAGCAAAAGAAGGTAGACGATAGTTACTAATAGACGAATCATCTAATGATTGAATAAATGCAGTTATTGAAGCGATATTTACTGTATTCCAAGTGATAGCTGCATTGATTTTATCTTGTGAAAGTTGAAATTGACGATAGACAGTACCTTAGAAAAAAAAAAAAAGAATGAATAATGGGTTCTACGTTTGAAAGAAAATCCATTAAATTTTTACCTTTATCAATGATTGAATTAGCAAAGATATTAAAATCATTCAATTGCCGAATGGTTACGAATCGATTCGTTACATCGTCAATAACTTGGTCTAGACCAGAATCTGTCTTTCCCCATCTTGAAAATAAATTAGGCCAGTTTTCTTGAATCCATATCCAAGCAATTTGATAACTATCTCGTGAACGAGCTACATTACTAATTGAATATGTTATATCTTGTTCACGAATTACAGATTCATTTTTCAAATGTTGATTAAGAAACCAAATAATTTGTGATCGATCTCTTGTACAAGCAAGACCATGTAATAGATCCAATGTCGCGCTAGGTATCGGTCCATCTTCTAGACGTTTCCATAAAAATTGGAATTCTTCATGAGAACCTTCACGAATCGCAACACAATAGACAACAGCACGTAAACTACCTGGTATTTCATTTTGAACAGGATTTAAATACCATCGACGAAACATACTTCTTGCTGTATCTATACAATCACGATAACCATAAGAACAAACAGCTGAGAGAAGTTCTGGTTGAATTAATGCTCGACGCCAATCTGTTGTTTGATTGATCGTTGTCCAACTGATACTATTGTATAATGGTAAAATCAAATTGAGAAAATAACGTTGTACTTCAGGAAAAATTTCATTATCACCCAATAAATATTCTTGTTGATTCATTGCCGAAAATGCTGCTGTCCAAGGAACGAAATCATTTTCATTTTTAAGATAACCAATTAATTTATAGGCCTCTGTTGCATTAATTAGAAATGTACGTGATATAGCAAATGTATCATCAATAAGAGCAGCTCGATTAATATTTGGAATACGTGTATGATCTGTTTGAAGTTGGGCTAGAATTAGATTGAAATTCTTTGAATCATATTTAACTCGATAGAGACCAAAATAATCAGGATTTGCTATGATCCAATCTGAATCGGAAGTTGTGATTGATAAACGTGTCGATGTACTGTTAAACCATTCTATTGGATTTTCCTTTGAAAACTATGAAAAACAAAAAATAAAATTTGACATAAAAATTAAACAATCGAATACTTCGAGTGATGTTCGATCAAAATATTTAAACGGAATCCACCATGTCTTTGATGTTGGTGTCGATGGAAATAGATTAAATGGTTGTTGTGTAATAATTAATTCACTAGAGACTCTTTGTTGTTGTTGTTGTAAATTTTGATCGATTTTTCTATATATTCGATTAATTTCAACAATAGGATAGCCTGCTTGATGTGTCCATCCATTCATAATAAGTTCGACATCGATTGTATTGTTTGTAGCTGCACTTAAATATTGCCAAAGATCATGTTGTGTTGCTGAACTATAACTGAAATGTTTCAGATAATTTCTAATACCTTGTTGAAAAATTTCAGCACCTAAAAACATTTTCATCATTCTAATGAGTGATGATCCTTTGTTATAAGTTATTTGATCATACATGAGAAATATATCAGCTAGATTGTTTATTTCAATACTAATTGGTCGTGATGTTGGCAATGAATCGACTTTCATGAATGAAAAAACTTTGTCAATAACAAATAGTTCATCTTGTTTCCATGAAGGTTCGATAAAATCAGTCGCTAATGATTCCATATAATTAGCAAAACCTTCTTTGAGCCATCTATGTAAAAATATGATAGGTATACACAATCGAATTACTAAAAAAACAAATTACTTACAGCTCTCCCCACCAGGCAGGTGACACCAAATTACCGAACCATTGATGTGCTACTTCATGAGCTATAAGTAGAGTTACATATTGTTGCTGTGAAGTAGATCCTATTTTCTCATCGAAAAACAAACCAATTTCACCGTAGATCAATAAACCTAAAATCAAATATTAATAAATTCTTAGTTATATTTTATTCCTGTTTATCTATACGAAATACAAATAATTACTTACCATAATTTTCCATAGCACCACCTTCGAAATCAGGTACAGCAAAATGATCAATTTTAGGTAATGCATAATCTATATCGAAATATTGATTGAAAAAGTTTACTGCTTTGAAGGCTACATCATCAGCATATGCCATTTTTTGTAAAATTGGTATACGTCCACATATTCTTGATATAATATTCTTTGAACTATTTATAATACGATCTGGTCGACAAGCAAAATCTAATTTAGGTGTTATAATCAAGGCCAATAGATATGTTGACATGTTTAATGTAGGAGCAAAATAAGAATTAATTCTGCCATCACTCAATGTATCCGAATGTTCTAATTCTGTATTCGTCCAGACAGCATACGAAGGATCATGATTGACAGTAATACGAAATAAAGCCTTTCGAGCAGGTTCATCAATGCATGGAAGCACATTTCGGGCATATGTTGGTTCCATTTGAGAAGTTATAAATGTTCGACTAACACCATTGACATCAACATAGTCACTTAAATAAATACCTTCAAGATCGCGATCAATATTAGCCGAATAAACAATATGAAGTGTATAGATCATTGCCGGTTGAAAATTGGACAAAAAATTAATTTTCATGAATTGATTATGATCATCATAGTACCATGAATCAAAGATGGGTATCGAACTTGATGATGAATTTACAATAGCTATTGTTGAATTGTCGATATTCAAGTCTACCATATGAAAAATTAATTCTTTTGTTGATTCAAGACACGTAAATGTGTAAAGAAGATCACCTAAAATTAAAAATAAAAGAAAACAAATAATGATGGAATTTATCATTCGATTTTGAAGAAATAATAAATACTTTCTATTTTTTTTTTAAGAAGATTATTGTCAATATATATTTTCTCTTTTTTTTTCACTTGAAATGACTTTTCGAAGAAAAAAAAATGTTTACCTACGAATTTTTCTTGAATCAAATCGGGTGTAATAGTCCATTGATACAATTCTGGTTTCAAATTCATTGGTATTCGTTCTACAGGTCGAATCAGATGTATTGTAGTTGTCGATCCAATCGATGTTGTTGTATCATTCGGATTATGAGTGCTTGTTGATAATAACGTAGTTTCATGATACACAATAGTCGTTTTTTGTGAACGAACACCAAAGTAAATAGTTAATACAAGTAAAACAACAAGACCAATTATGATCAAGGATAAAATAAACCAAAATAGTTTTTTAGATATCTGATATGTATTTAGCTTGACATGTTTCTCATTCTGATCAAATGATTGCATAGATATTCTGTTCGATTTATTAATACAATCTAAAATATCACTTTTAATTAAAAGAAAAAAAGCTATTAGCGCAATTCTTGTGGGATTAAAATGTGAAACACAATGTAGCTGTTGTTACAACACACAAAAATATTATTTTCATCGATATACCTTGAAACCTATTTATTCATCATTTTTTACTTAATCCTCTAGAACTACAATAAGGCAGCAGGATTCTGGTGATATAAAATTGTAAATCGTCTATTAATAGGCCTGCTATGGCCTCTGATAGGCATCGAGTTTCTCTATTACGGTCTGTGGAGTGATGCAAATTTCTACCCTCTACTCGCCAATGATTTTCTTTCTCTAAAGGAAATACGATCACATTTATTGAATACTTTGTTTGTTTGTCTTTAGAAACTCTGAAAGACATTTGTGTCACACTGATATTGAAATGACGTTCTATAGTAACTATTTATGCTGGCTGTGTCGATGTGTCTGTGCAAGTAAAGTATTCTGTATGGTTTTGTTCCTGATTTTTTTTTTGAAGTTTATTTTTCGATCCTCAAATTTGCTTTGTGACTATCTTCAAGACAAAAACTTTTTTTCGAAAAAGAACTCGAACTATAACTAATAACTAGTCGATGCTGATTAAAATTTATCTAATTTTTATTGTAATCTACTTTTAAATCTTTTACTTGTGATTTTACAAATAGTTGCCAAAATTTGAAAATCGAAAATATAAATAAAATTGAATAAAAAAAAAGATAAATAAACGAAGCTTCTTAGATTTCAATCACGGTTTTTAGATACATGCATAAGAATCAAACTACGTTTGTTTGGCAAAAAAATATTGACCTACAAATGATGCTTTAAGCGTTTGAATGCAGTAACGGATACAGAGAGGTGCCATGCGCACCTTCCTTCCTTCGAAATATTTTTTCGACTTTTCTCGATAGAAAATGGTTAAGTGGGATGTGAGTGTGAATGCAGATAACTATGAATAAAAGAGGACAATGATACTTTCATATAAAGAATAGCTGATTGAATGGACGATCCATTGAATGCAGAGAAAAAAAAACGCAAAAATGTACATTTCAACATATAAATAAGCGATCTAGTCATTCAAATAATATTTTACGTAGTTGAAATATATTCTAAGGATGTCAATGTGACAACGTGAAAACTATTCAGAAGCAAGGTATTCGATAGAATGAATGCTTCTAAAGAGATGATGACTTATAACACTTGAAATTACAATCTCAACTGATATGAGACAAACAACAATAATAAAAAAGTACGCTTTTTTATTTCAAGGTCCTCATCATTAAATTTCTATTTTTATTTGTTTCTCTAACGAAGAAATTTTATCTGAAATATTTTATTAAACTTTGTTGCGATAAATTGTCAAAAAACAAGGTAGTAAATCGCATAATTTGCTGCACAAAATCGACTAATGGTAAACATACGACATTAACTGCACAATAGAAGAGAACGAAATACCGTTAAGACAAATATAAAGGTGTTTAACATTATCAAATAGGGCATGCAAATCTTTGTATTTCAATCGATTCTATTTGTGCAGTATAGTTTATTGATTTACGATATAATTAAAATGCTTCCTTCATTTTCCGTTAAGTCATTGGAGACTCGTTTTTTGTTTTGTTTATAGTGATGCTGACCTTTCATACATCAAGTCCTACATTATTATTGTTGCCCTTTTGTGATAATAGAATCTTCACTATTTTGAATGCTTACATAGGTTGAAACAAAAATACAATACTATGAATAGATATTTTTCAAAAAAAAGTCGATAGCGAAATAAATGAGCAACATAGTTTTAATACGATAACAGTATTAATAATGCAACAAACATGATGAATGTAAGTGGCAAGTTGCTTTCTGATTTACCAACATCTACACGCCGTCATCTTTCGTAATCTAATGAATGTTATAGATTGTTGGCTAAACCGAATCAAAGTCTAATCTAGAATAAATGTTTATTATAAATATTAGAACAAGTCTAATGCAGTTAACCAATCTTCAGCACCCGAAATGAACTAAAAGGCATAAAGAATCGTATAAATTGATTTGATTTTATAATGGGTTGCGAGTAACAAAATACATTCTATTTTTGAATTAAGTGAATAGAGAGCAACTAGATCTTATACTAAAATCAAATGTACAATTAACAATCCAGTTGATGTGAATAAAACAGTATTGGTATATAAGATGTAAAAAATGTGTTTCATTTATGTTCCACGATTTATCCGATGTGTCTTGAACGTCTCTACATAAATACGATGAACATTTTGAAATAATATGAAGAAAATATGTGATGGATAAAAATTGACAAGAAAACGAAAAATTATTTTCTAAAAATCAATAAGAAAGGAAATTTGAAAGTTTGCATTGTTGAATTATTTCATCGTATTTCTTTCTCTCTAACTATTTGATAAATCCGTTGATCAATTTAAATATTCTTCTTTTTACCCTAAAATACACTTTTATGATCGAATAGTTGACAAATTGTTCTGTATTTAATTAATATTTCGATAGATTAAAATTGTTTCTCTTCATTAATCGACGAATATTCCATCTAAACTACACAAATCTTCAGTGTTTGAACACAAATCATCAGTAAATTTGTTTTTCATAGTGAAAATTATTAGAACATGTGGAATTTCTAAGAACGAGAAATGATATTTTCACAGCATCCTGTGACTCTTCTTTCTCAGTGATGATAAATATTGAAAAAAAGTCATCAGTAATAATAATTTTTTTTCAATTGTATCAAAATTATCGAAAAAAGTTCTTTTAAAATTTATTAATTTCTGTTTTTTTATTATCTATGTTTGTCTGCATATTGACTATAAAAAAAGAGTTAAATCTTTGTTTAAATGACATTGATAGAAGAATAAAAATGGATAATCACTTCCATAGTTCCTCATTTCCTTTTACACATACACATGCACACTTATACCCAGAGTATACGAGAAGAATTTCAATGTGAACTTTCTGTTAGCTAACATCCACATTTCAAAGCTTGCTCTCATCTAATGGCATTTTCTCATTTTAGAAATCAAGAATACAAAGTAAAAAGAACACCCACACCCTATCGGTAAAATATTTAGCTGTCGCACAATGCATTTTAATGTAGAAGTGGAAAAAAATTGTAAATGAAACGGAAGATGAGCATGAAAACGAGTTTCTTCCAACGAATATAATTTGGCAAAGAAATAATTGAGATGAAGACTCTTTACAGTAGTTGATACTCTAATAATTCACACACGAGGACGGTTCGAAAGAATTTCAATACGGGTTCATATATATTTTGATTATAGTGTTGTTGAAATTTCGACCTACTTTCGATTCGAATTAACTCAGAATGGAGAAAAAATTCATTATGAATGTAGTAATTATAAGAGAAAGTGCAAAATTCTGTGTTTTAGTAGGCATACAGTAAAATATGCTAACATTTGCATAATTCAAAGCTTTGTTACGTTCTTCATCAAGCAAAGCCGACGTGAAATTAGGAGAACGAATAAGTAAGAGTGTACGCCCGTATAACAACAAAAAAATTTTCACAAGTTCAATTCATTCATTCATACAATTTTGCACTAGTTAAGTCCAAGTGAATCAGAAAGTCTACTTACTCGACTCTTCAAGGTGTTTCAAAATTCATCACTGGAAAGTAAATTCGTATGACTGTGGTGGATATGGAGTGTGAGTATCGAACAAGCAATACATCCATCTACACCTTATGTGCGAACTTGATGGACAAGAAAAGAAATTGGAAGCATTAATCAAATATGTGTCATTGAGAAGAGCAAAAATAGCTGATGTCATCCTAGTCATAGAAAAATAAATAGATAAGCAACATTTCAAATAAAACATTTTCATAAATTGATTATTATTCTCTCTAGAAAATCAATAGTGTCAAAACGTGAGTGTGCAGAAGCTGAAATTCGAATTGAAGTTAACTGACATATGCAATCATTCATACTTCAATAACTCATTTTAATCTATTCTAAATTTATTATGCTGACACTGTTTATTCGAAATCGTCCTTCTCTCTCTCCCTGTGTCTCTGCCATTTGTTTTTGATTTTTTGGGTGGGTGTGGATGTGGAGTGTGGGTGGCTGTGGGTGTGGGTTGGGTGTGGGGTGTGGGTGTGTTGGTGTGGGGTGTGGGTGTAGGGTGGGTGTGGGATGGGTGTGGGTGTGGGTGTGGGTGTGGGATGGGTGTGGGTGTGGGTGCGGGTGGGTGTCGGTGAGGGTGCGGGTGTGGATGTTTTCCTTTTCTTCACACTCACACCCACATCCTTGTGTTGATTATTTTTCAAAAGAAAAAAAATGGTCAATGTCATATTTACTCGTATCCATATTCACTAACATATTATGATAATATTAGAAATAATTTTTTAGGTGGATTATTCAAATATGTTCTTTAACGAATGTCCAATCGAACATGAATTTTTTATTCGAATTTCTTAAGCATTTCCTTGTCTTAAACAATTAACTGTAAATAATTTAACACCGTAAAATCACAAACAATATGAAAATTCAAAGAACAATACTCAAAATTTGCCAATCATTAAATATTCTCATCTTACTGAACTCGATTTTATTGATGCCCATGATGATTATATCGAGCAGGAGTGTGAGTGTGGTTGTCGATGAAGAGAACACCCACACCCAGCCACAGCCACAGCCACACTCTCGTTAGTTTGACTCATTCTCACCTTCATCTCGTCCTTTAAAGTACGTCATGAAAGTTTCAATTTTCATGTTGGAAAGGAAAATATTCTTGAATTATTACAGTGTGGGATTTTTGTTTTCTTCTGTAGTGTTCGCTTCAGTTTTTTTTTTGATTGTATTATGTCATAAGTATGAATTTGGAACTTTCATTTTCTTTTCTGTTGTTCGCTACGGTATGTTTTTTTTCTGCAATGTGTCATAGCTATTTTGCGATTGGAATTTTTTT